TTTTTTATTTTTTATTTTTTATTTTTTTGTCTCAGAAAGTAGAATGGTGGTTGCCAGGACTGAGAGAATGGAGGAAAGGACCGTGGGGAGTTATGTTTAATGAACACACAGTTGCAGACTGAGATGATGAAAAATGTTCTGGAGATAGATGGTTGCACAACAATGTAAATGTACTTAATGCCATAGGACTGTATATTTAAAAATGGTTAAGTGGCAAATTTTATATTACATATATTTTACCACAATAAAAAAAAAGTTCATCTTTATCTCTAAGACAGGCAGCCTGCCTCACTGGGGGGCTTGGGACCCCAGGCTTAGCTCCTCAGAAGAATACAAGGGCTCCCCACCACCCTGAAGGGCCCGGCCCACCTCACCTGTAAGCCGCAATCTCAATATCCAGAGCCATCTTGACATTGAGCAAGTCCTGATACTCGCGGAGCTGGGCTGCCATCTCCCACTTGGTGTTCCTCAGCTCAGCGTCCAGCTGCTGGATAGCGTCCTGAGGGCGACAGGTCACATACCCCTCAAGCACCAGCCGACACCTGGCCCTCAGCACCAGAGAGGCTGGGCCGGGCCCTGCAACCCAAAGCAGTCCTGTCCCGGCCCACAGCTGGAGCCAACACCCACCCTGGCAAAGCCGCGGGGCCTCATTTATGGACATGGAAACCACGTGGAACAAAAATTCAGCTATGGATATAGCCTCAGCCTGGGGAATGGTCTGGGATGACACACACCAGACTCCAACAATGCACAATAAGTGCTTTAAAAGTGCCAGTTTTTTTGTTTTGTTTTTTAATACATTTTTATTGATTTCAGAGAAGAGAGGGAGAGAGAGAAACATCAATGATGAGAGAGAATCATCAATCGGCTGCCTCCTGCACGCCCCTCACTGGGGATGGAGCCCGCAACCCAGGTATGTGTCCTGACCGGGAATCGAACCTTGACCTCCTGGTTCACAGGTCGATGCTCAACCACTGAGCCAGCTGGCTGGGCAAAAGTGCCGTTTTCTTAAGCCAGTTGTCTTTAATAGCGAATCTGCCAAGGCCTTCCCCAGGTTACCCACACTCACAGACATTGATTATTATTCACCAAATGCCCTTTTTGTGACCAAACTCTGCTAAGAACATTCACACTCATCTCTTAAAAAGGTTGTCTATCTCTTTCATCTTCAGAGCTCTGCAAAGTAGACATTCATTTTTGTTGTTAATTCTCACCTGAGGATATTTTTCCATTGATTTTTAGAGAGAGTGGAAGGGAGGGGAAAGACAAAGAGAAATATTGATGTGAGAGAGACACATTGGTTGCCTCCCGCACGTGCCCCCACCGGGGATCAAGCCTGCAACCAAGGTACATGTCCTTGACTGGAATCGAACCTGGGCCCCTTCAGTCCATGGACCGCCGCTCTATCCATTGAGCAAAACCGGCCAGAGCAAAGTAGGCATTCTTGCCCTGGCCGGTGTGGCTCAGTTGGTTGGGCATTGTCTTGTGCACCAAAAGGTTGCCAGTTTGATTCCAGGTCAGGGCACATGCCCGGGTTGTGGACTTGATCTCACTAGGGGGCATGTAGCCTATCGATGTTTCTCTCTCTGTAGGCATTCTTCCCCCTCCCCCCCCTTTTTCATTGAAGGATTTCAGAGTTGGAGAGGCAGATAAACTTCCTGGAATCACATACCTAGAAAGACATACTGGTATATCTGGTATGTCTGACTCCAAGGCCTATGTTCTCGATCACTACAACCCTGCTCAGAGGACAGTGATTTATCCAAGGTCAAGGTCACCCAACCCAGTGAGACAGTCTGGCTCTCTACCCCAACCCTGCCCACCTGGTAGGAGGCGATGTCGGTTTGGTGACGGTCCTCCAGCTCAGAGCGCTGCCTCTCCAGCGAGTCCTTGGTGCTTTTGAGTGCCTCCAGCTCTGTGGTCCTGGCCTGCAACTGGCGCCGGTACTCACTTATCTCCTCCTGTGCTGAGCGCATGGCATCTGTGTTCACCTTGGCTGCCTCTGACAGTCGGTCTAGCCTCACTGGGGGAGAAGGAGACAGCACAGAGTTAGACACACCTGGATGCGTGTCCCAATGCCCAGCTCCAGAGGGTGACACACATCGGTTGAGGACCTACTGGGTGCTGAGTGCCATTCTGGATGCTTAACTCATCCTATCTTGCATGATAGGCAAATGACTACTGCCCAAGGCTACCCAGCTAGTGAGTGGCAGAGCGGGGATTCAAATCTAGTGTCTATATGGCTCCAAAGATTAGTCTGTCTCCTGGACTCAGGATCCAGAAACCCTACAGGGCAGAGGAAACCCCCATTTCTGGTCCTAATGCCTGGTTCAGCTCCCCAGCAAGGGCTGGCAGTGCAGGGGGTTCAGATGTGAAACCTGGCTTCACTCTGAACTTGTGGCTCAGAGTTTGACTCTGAACTTCTGGCTGAATAAGCTCATGAGCCTTTGACCTTTGAAGACATGAGGGTGCTGTGAGCCACCGTGTAGCCACAGCCCCTTCCTTGCAGGTTTCTGCTGTGCAGAGAGCACAAGGTCACTGCAGAGCCCGGGGCCTGGGTGCCAGCTCCTCTGCCCCTTCCCTCCACCTGGCTGCACATTCCGGCACTGGAGCCCCGGAGCCAGCGGCAGCCACACCTGGCCCCTGCAAGCCAAGGGCTGCTGGCTCCCAGGCCTTCCAGGGCCAGTGGAGGTCTAGAGGCTAGTCTACATCTCCTGAAAGTGAACATCCTGAATCTTGAGATAGTGACACCCAGGGCCTGAGTTGGGAGTGTGGGAGAACGAAGGGAAGCCAGCTGGTTGGGCCAGAAGCCTGGGCTGGTTTGCTGGTATGAAGGGCAAAGCCGGAGAGAACAGAGGGGTTTGCTGCAGAGAAGTGGAAAAAAAACAGAAACAGAAATGAAGGGCAAAGCCGGAGAGAACAGAGGGGTTTGCTCTGGGAGGAGCCTTGCTGCAGAGAAGTGGAAAAAAAAACAAACAGAAACGGGAAAAGCCTGCATCCAAATCCCAGCTTTCCTGGCTTTCCCTATAATGCTGGCAAAGATTTAGAAGCCATCCTGATGGGTGAGGGTTCTTACCCACTGTGGATCACAGACCCGTTTGGAAATCACTGAAACCCCTGCACCCTCTCCCAAAAACAACGCATAAAGTTTTACATTTGGGGGGAGAAGGGGGAGCGGTGGATCATGGAGCTTCCCAGAGTAGGAAGTCCAGGTGGTCCACCCCCATCTTTCCACCCAAATAAATGAAAACCAGAAAAAGCAGCGTTGGTCAAGGTCACCCTGCAGCTGCTGGAAACAGCTTCAGAGCGGCTGCAGCTGCAATCCTGCTGACTCAGGGCAGCTTGGAGTTGGGGGAGGGCTACGGATTTGGATGTGGGAGGCTCCCAGTTTCCCAGGCGAGGAGAGGGGACGGTATAGGTCTCAGGAGCCGATTGTTTGTAGTGATGGTGTGTCCCCGCCCACCCCACCCCCGGAGAAAGGATGTGAGAATGCCCCACTTCTCCCGAAATTAGTGGGGAGGGGCCTGGTAGGGATCAGAAGAATGGAGTCCGTCCCCTGCAGTGTCCAGAAAAGGGGGGTGGGCAACGCGGCAGGGAAGGCAAGTTACTTTGAGGGCAAAGAGTCCCCAGCGCTTGTGACTAGGAGCTATAGAGGGGACCTGATGTAAGGGGGCCTCCGAGTGGAGTTACCTAACTACAAGGGGCGAGGGGGAGACCAGGAGGGCCCCAGAGTTAAAGGGCAAGCACAAGGCCCCTGGAGGAGGGCAGCCAAAGGTGAAGAAGCCATACTTGACGGGGGTTGGAGACATCCCACATGAGACCCAGGTGGAAACTGTTCTTTACCTAAGGGTTATGAACTTTGCACGGGGCAGCTGACAGAGGACTCTCTCCAGCCACCTTCACGCAGAGTCCACCAGCGTCCCCCGGCATCACGCCACCCCAACCCCTCGCCGCGGGACCAGCAGGGGGCGCCCCTTCCTCCCCGACCCCTGCGCGCGCTGGCGAACCTCGGAACCACTCCTCGGACTGCAACGTGCTTTGCACCGAGGGGAATCCACGAGGAGTCGGAAGAGCCCCCCGCCTCGAGGGCAGGTCCGGGGGTAGAGGATTCCTAGAGTGGGCCGGCGGGGACCCCCGGGTGCACATCGGAAGACCCTGCTACTGTTTTCAGAATAAGAAAAGGGGCTGAAACGCGGAGAGGACGAGGAGAGCCGCTGGGAATAGGGGCAGGGCGCCTTAGGGATGGAGCGACGGAACACTCGATAGTCAGTAGGATGAAGGGGTTGCTGCGTGAGACCGGGGCACAAGGTCTTCCTAATAGTTAGAGAGGCCTCAGGGTAAGGGGTGCAGAGTGTCTGCAGCCGCCGGGGAACAGGGGAGGGAGCGAGGCAATCCTGAATGGAGGCAGGGCGGACGCTACGGAGGCTAGAAATCGAGGACCTCTGCGTGGAGTGTCAGTGTCCCCCGAGTAGCTAAGGGGCCACCGGGACAGGGCTCAAGAAGCTCGGCAGCCCCTCCAGAAGAGGGGAGGGCAGCCTGGAGTTGAGGGGGGCAAGGAGAGTGAAGCCCAGAGGAGGGGGCCCAGTGGTCTCGGCAGGACAGAAGGTGAGCTGGCCCCAGCGAGGACCCTCCCTGAAGCGGGCAGAGGGTCTCCTGCATAGACCGGGGGAACCTGGGCTGCGTGTGAGGGTCCGGAAACCCAGAGTGGGGGTGCTGCTGGGGACGGGGCATGCAAATGGGAGGGCTGGTGCCTGTATAGGGGGGTGCTGGAGGGAGGTTGTGACAGGTGAGCGAGTGGTCACTGGGGCCAGGCTCTTCCCACTGAGGTCGCTCCACAGTTTGCTGGCCACATGACCTTGGACAAGTTGTATCTGTCCGCCCCGCCCCCACCACCCACCTCAGGCTGCAACTTCAGACCCCTAGCTCCCCAGGCAGCTTCAGCTTGGGGGGGGGGCGGGGGGGTGAGCTCTGGCTGGATTAGGGGAGGGGAACCCGTGTGCCGCCTCCCCACCGCTGCTTTCCCACAACTAGGAAGTCAGCAAGTCCGTCTTCCTAGTTTTCCCCTTTCCATCTCCTCACCTTCCACTCAGCATCTCTCCCCCCCACCCCCACAACAGATCAGTGGGTGCCCCATAGGCATCCCTTCTCACCCCCAGGGAAGTGGTGGGATGCTGTTAGATACCAAAGCCCCTGTCCCCCATAAGCCCTATCGGAGGGTCAGGTGTAAAAAGGGGTCCTTGAGCTGCGGCGGGGAGGGGAGGGTGCCTGGAACTGCCGTGTCATTTAACTTTTTCTCCTTTGGGCTCATTTCCAATGCCTTGCGAGTGCCGGCTGCACTGCAGATGGTGCTTCAGCACCGGGGACAGCGTCCGCTCCTTGTCCGGGAGGAAGGGGTTAACCTCTCCGCCCTGGCGTTGTGGGGAGGGAGGGGAAGGAGGTATGCAGATTCCCTTTGCCCGACCTTTGGGCCGCGCGGATGGGGACCTGGGAAGGAGAGGGTGAACGAATGGCCTGGCAGGGTCTCAAAGGGAGCCCAGGACCCGGCCCCTGGACTTTCTGGTAGGCGTCCGGTCCCCTGATTTCTGTTAAGTCCTCTCACACACACCTGGGCTGTCCGCCTCCTCCACTGGGAGCCGATGCTGGGAAGGGGTCCCCCAGAGTCCGGGTAGACTTCGCTCTCAGACCTGAGCCTCCTTAGCCAGTTATCTCCACCCCCACTACCTTTCCAGTGTGTGCTGGCCTTCCTTCTGCGGGGCCCCCAAGATGGGGACAGACGGGCCCCTCAGAAGAGTCCTCTGCCAGTTCTTTTCTCCGTGCCTTCCACCTTATTCCCAGCCCCCCGTCCGTCCCCGCCCCCCTCCCGAGCAGGCCCTGAGCAATGCGGAAGGAAGCGATGGTGCTGTCCCTTTAACCACATTTTACTGGAAGGAGAGTGCGCTGGGGAGGAGGCAGGAGGGGGCAGGGAGTTTCTGGGTTTGCGTGGAGAAGCAGAACATGATGAAGCATTTTCCCCCTGTTTAAAGGTCCAGCCTAGCTCTGGTTTGCCGGGGGCAGAGGGGCTGGTGTGCTGGTGGTGCTGGGAGGATGGAGGTGAGAAGGGCACTTTGTGTGTGTGTGTGTGTGGGC